GGATGAAGGGATTTCTCTCTGGAAGGTTTTCCACTCCCCTCCTCCTTCCCACCTTCGTCTCTTCTCTCTTTCGCTCTGCCATTCCCACCGCCAGACCCTCGGAAGTCCACGCGGAGACAGCGCCGTAAGGAGCGCGCCGAGGAAAAAGGGTCCGCGGAGAAAGGGCGGAGAGGGTGCGAACGGGGGATAAATCTCTTTGTGCTCCCGAGCGAAGAGACGAAAGAGCAGATGGTCATTTCAGACAATAAGAAACTCCGAGATAAGGGGATCGCGAGAGTAAGGACGGATAGGGAGTAAGAGGGGAAAGGACGGAGGGAGACGAAGAAAGAAATTGGAGGGGGACGAGGGCGGAAGGAGGTAGGGAATAGGGAGAAGGGAAGTCGAGATAATGAGGAGTAATGAGAGAGAGAGAGAGAGTGAGAGAGAGATGAACGAAGAAAAAGGGGAAAGATCGTTCCCGATGACAAAGGGGAAGAGAGTGAAGGAAAAAAAAAGCAAATAAAGGGAAACAGGGGACAAGCGAGAATGGAAGAGGAGAGGCCGGAAGGGAAGGCTGGATAGGAAACGGACGATGAGTCAGTCTCAAAGTGGACCCTACGGACGATCCCTGGTCGGGATTAATGACTTTGGATCTAACCGGTACCTACCATAGCCCATAAAGTCCACCCCTCTATGTGCTACCAGTTTTCTTACTATTCGCGTATATATATTTTTTGATATCCGACAGAACGAAGAAAATGATTAGTTAAGAATTCTAGCAGCGAGTTCGGACAAGGCGGATAGGATGGGTATGATCGAGGTGGATGACGCGACCGAGTGATTCTGCCAGGAGAGATCCTTGAATGGTAGGGATCGACTCTTCGACAGGTCTGAACGAGTCTGAGACGCGTAGGAGGACGAGTGGCACGTGGTGCCCTGTACGAGTGAGTTATCCAGAAGGAAGTGCTCCTTGGTACTGAATTATCGATGGGCTGATAAACCCTGCTGGGACAAACAAATTAGGTGAAAGAGGGAATCCTGTGAAAGGGCCGCATGGAGCTGACCGTAGGACACGTCAGTACGTACGTGTATACGGAGGACGTAGATAAGCCGTAGTTCTGTGTCAAGGAGCGCAGTTAGCTCGTGGATGCGTAGGAAGTTTCTACACGTCTAACTCTGAAGTAGTAGAAGTGCGCTGCGTGGTTGATAGGTAGGTAGGTGGGTAGGTGGGTAGGTGGGTAGGTGTATAGGACGCGAAGAGGAGGAAGATGGAGAAGAAGGAGAACGATGGGAGCTGCGGCTAAAGTTGCTCCTTCCCCCGTCCCCACCTCAGACTCTACCACCCGTCCGGCCAACCCCAACCAAAAACAGGATGTGGCCAGTCGCAGAAGAAAGGGATCAGGACGAAAGGGAGAGGAAGGGATCGGAAGCGAGAATGGGGAATAGGAGGAGAGAACGTGGGGCTCGGATCAGAAGAAGGAATGAGAGGCAGAGAAGGGTGAAAGGCGAGAGAGGGTTGAATAGCGGAAGAGAGGCCAAGGGAGAGCCAGATCGAAACGGTAGAAGAGCGAAGAGGTTAGGGTGGCAGACAGGATGCTAGGGGGAGAGTCGAATGGGAGAGAGAGAGAGAGAGAGACGGAGAGAGGGGGGAAACGAAGAGAGCGAGAGAGAATGGCGAAGTTGAGTTTGCAGTGAGTCAGACGTGTTTT